ATTAGAACGCAGATTAGATTGCAGATATGTCGATGTTCCTTGCCAAGATGCTCGCCGAGTAATCTTGAGATGGCCAGGGATAGATAGCGATTACATCCATGCCAATTATGTAGCAACACCAAGCAAGGATCATCACTTTATCTGTACACAGGCACGTAATCAAAAACTGTATCGTAGTAAGATCTTATCAACATTGTGTTTCAAGGGTCCCCTTCTAAACACAATGCACGCATTCTGGGCAATGGTTATACAAGAAAAAAGCGACTTTGTTCTTATGCTGTGCAACGTGATAGAATGCGTAATAATTGAATTGTCTTAATTTTTGAAAAATTCATGTGTAAAGCAAAATGATCTCAGGAGAAAAGAAAATGTGAGCAGTATTGGCCCTACAATGTAGGTGAATCGATGGCGTTTGGAGAAGACACCGATGGAAAAATAATTGTAACATCTATGGAGGTATACGTTTACGTGAATGTTCTTACATTATGAGTGGATGATGAAATAGGCTCATCCTATGTCGGAAGAGGATAACTTTATTCGGGTAAGCAAGCTGCGGCTGGACTACAAGGAAAATAGTGAAGACAAATCGAGAATCGTCTATCATTATCATTGGGAAAATTGGCCGGATCGGGGAGTACCACCGACAAAATTGACCCCAATTGTGAGTTATACGCCATTGGATTGGAATCCTCATCATCTGAGTTATGAACATGGGATTTATAAGCAGTGTCAGAGAGCCTCCCTCTGGGATCTACGCCCATAGGCATGATAGATTGTATGAACGCTATTAGTGGAATAACTTCATTTTCTCCATGATGTAGTCCATTCTGATGAATGATTTAAATTAGCAAATTGAGTATTTGCGCTCCATTTAACGCGTATTCAGAAATACAATAACCTTAACATTCGGTATCGTCATATGCGAAGACATGAAAATTATACATTTGGAATAAAACGGTGCTGCTTTTCTCACTGCGGTAGCATATTGCGATGCTGTCGCTTGAGTAAGAAATTTCTGCAAAAATTCTTCAATTTGTAGTAGTCATCAATCTCTCCTTGAACATACATTTACAAAAAATGAAATCTTCTTAACGATGACAATACAGTAAAATCTTGTACATTCTATGACAATTAGTAGCCGAAGGATAAAGTTCTCGGCGTTAAACAATCATTGTGATGTACCATGTATTCGTCTTTATCTGGCATCGTAAAGCCGCCTAAGTGCATGTGGAGCACACAGTGACTTATTTTGGCCGATGTTTAAATCATTGTTTCGATTCTAGACCGGCTGAAATGAAAGGATTGGTTGTTTTTGGCAGTAAGATCAATTCATGATGTTTGGTAATAGCAGTGACTCTAACACTACACCAGACATCTCTCTGCAACCATTGTCGAAATTTATTGATTCCGTTGCCATTTCGGCCAATTTAAAGACAATTACATAGTTTCGTGGGACAGAATGCATAGTAACAGTTTGTTATTTGTTAAACAAAATTGATTCATCGCAATGAGTTATGGGAATAATGTGATAAAAATAAAAAACGAGATCATTATGGAAACTTGTTTTGTGAACTATTTCCAGTAGTCGCCGCTGTTTAGAATCTACTCGCAGAAGTCCGTGGTTCTTCAGCTCCGATTATTGTTCACTGCTCCGCGGGTATTGGCAGAACTGGAACGATTGTGGCCATATCGTATGTGCAAGAAAAGATGCAAAATGGGGTAAGTTGTTCCAGTCACTTTATACATAAGACGTGTTATAATAATAATAACAGGAAGATTGCCAAGCAATGAGTGAATTATTGAAAGAGATTCGAACTCAAAGGGCTTGTTCTATTCAAAATGCTTATGTGAGTAAAGCATCTAAATAATTCTATAACTATATTCTTTAGCCTCAAACTAACATTCAGCAATATCTTTACGTGCATCGTGTCCTACTTGCGTACTTTCTTGAAAAATATCGAGGACGTTTCCAACACTGTTTGGATAATGGTGGGGAAGAAAAGTACCAGCAATGGTGTGCCGACTACAAGAGAATAACTGGCTGCGACTAATTTTTTAAAACTTTTCAACATTAGGGCTAAAAAGTTACCTTCTGTGAAAATAATTAAATTCAAACATTTTTTAAATTAGGTAAACTATTGTATTTTTTCAACATGCTCCTAACAGAATACTAACTATTCAATAAAGATTAGTAAAGCTTTTATAAGTAGTTACAGTGTTATATGGGCCTGCTTGAGCTTCAAAAATCAAAAACTTTAGTTACAGTACTTTCCCGAAAGAACGGTTTTATACGTAACTAGCTTGCATACCCGGCTACGCTCGGCTGTTTCAGAGTAGTCAATAGTACTTTGTTTCAAGGCAATTTTTTTCTGGAACAAGCATAATAGATTTTGAGATTTCCAGCATAAAAATTTCTCTTAGCAAACGTAGGCTGAGGAAAATCACGTCGTACTGTTCAGCATGTTAGCACATCTTTGCGTCAATTGGTAGCAACACGAAAAATCCA